ACGTCGCTGCTCAGCGTGACTACGAGTTGCACTCTCTGGACTTCAGCACAGCTTTCCTGCAGGGCAGTCTGCACGAGGAGATCTGGCTGCGCTGCCCACCTGGCTTCACTGTGTCGTTTCCTGTAGGTACCCAGTGGAGCCTCTGCCGGCCAGTCTACGGTCTCCGCCAGACGCCTCGCGAGTGGCACGACACGCTGAGGACTACACTTGCGGTTCTTGGCTTTGCTCTTTCTACTGCTGACCCGTCGCTGTTTCTCTGCACAAACACCTTGCTGCTGCCGTTCTACGTCCTCGTGTACGTCGACGACCTCGTCTTTGCCACTGCTGACACAGAGGCATTGACCCTTGTGAAGTCGGAGCTGCAGAAGAGACACACCTGCACTGACCTGAGTGAACTGCGCAGCTATCTTGGCCTGCAGATCACCCGGGACAGAGCACGGCGCACCATCACACTGACTCAGCCACACATGGTGCACCAGGTCCTTCAGCGCTTCGGCTTCCAGTTCTCTTCGCCACAGCCCACTCCTCTGTCTACCGGCCACTCGCTCTCAGCTCCACTTTCGGACGAGTCCGTAGAGCCGAGTGGTCCGTACCCAGAGCTTGTGGGTTGCCTCATGTACCTGATGACGTGCACATGACCTGACCTCGCGTACCCTCTCAGCCTTGTGGCTCGCTACGTTGCTCCCGATAGGCACCAAAAGGTGCACTGGGATGCTGCGAAGAGGGTACTGCGTTACCTGTGTCAGAATGTTATGTTTTGTCTAGCCTGCAGTGGGGTACTCAATAGTGAGTACAGCCCAATTTAGGGTTTGCTATATGTACTCAGCTGCTTGCTAGTGACATCCCACTCTTTCTCATTTTCTTACATTATTCATTACTGTTTTTTCACATGGTATCAGAGCTGGTTCGATTCTTTCAAGGGCCCACCACTCAATTTTTTTTCCTTACCTGCCCGAGGCGCGCGTCGCGCCTGCCCTTCGAGGCCTTTAGTGGCCCGTCGCTGCCCCTTCGCGGCCCTTAGTGGCCCCTCTTAAGGCCCTTTGCGGCCCCCTTTAGTGACCCGTCGCGGCCCTTCGCGGCCCCCTTTCGCGACCCGTTGCGGCCCTTCGCGGCCCCTCTGCCGGCCCTTTGCGGCCCCCTCTACGCGGCCCCCTTTGCGGCCCCTTAACAGCCCCGTCGCGGCCCCCCTTGCGGCCCCTTAACGGCCCCGTCGCGGCCCCCCTTGCGGCCCCTTAACGGCCCCGTCGCGGCCCCCCTTGCGGCCCCTTAACGGCCCCGTCGCGGCCCCCCTTGCGGCCCCTTAACGGCCCCGTCGCGGCCCCCCTTGCGGCCCCTTAACGGCCCCGTCGCGGCCCCCCGTCGCAGGCCCCCGTCGCGGCCCCCTCGTCGCGCCCCCCCTCGTCGCGGCCCCCCTTGCGGCCCCTTAACGGCCCCGTCGCGGCCCCCCTTGCGGACCCTTAACGGCCCCGTCGCGGCCCCCCGTCGCAGGCCCCCGTCGCGGCCCCCTCGTCGCGCCCCCCCCGTCGCGGCCCCCCGTCGCGGCCCCCCGTCGCGGCCCCCCGTCGCGGCCCCACGTCGCGGGCCCCCCCATCTCGGCCCTGCCCCGTCGCCCGGCGCCGCCCCTGTCCCAGACCTGTCGCGGCCCTGCCCCGACCCTGTCGCGGCCCCGTCGCGGCCCTGCCCCGGCCATGCCCCGACCCTGCCCCGGCCCCGCCCCCCTCATGCCTGTCGCGGCGCACCGGGGGCCCACGCACCGCCCCCCCCCCCTTTCCCGTCGCCTTTCGTGGCGACCTGGGGGGGGCCGCGCGCGCCCCCCCACCCCCCCAGGTCGCCACGAAAGACGACGGGAGGGGCGACCTGGGGGGCCGCACGTTGCCCCCCCCCCCCCCCCCCCCCCCCCTCCCCTCTGTCGCCCGTCACGGCGCCCTGGAGGGGGGCCCTCCGTCTTCGTCATGGCGCCCTGCCCGACAGCTGCCCTGCCCCGGCCTTGTTGCGGCCCCGCCCCCTCCCCCCCCCCTTACCCTCCCTACCCGCCATCTACGGCCCTGCCCTGTGTTAGGGTTTGGGGGTGGCGTGTTGGGGGTGGCGGGTGTGCGGCCTCACCTGCTCCTCCTCCTCCTCCGTCTCCCACTGCTGCAGCTGCCGCTGAGGGGGGTGGGTGTGTGGGAGCCGATGGAGTGGTGCTAGGGGGTGGAGTGTGAGTGAACCTAGGGGTGCAGCAGGGGGTGTGTGAAAAGGGGGGTGAGACAGTTAGAGGGAGGTTGGGCGGAGGCAGCAGTCGTCTCGCCTGCAGCACCAGTAGTCCGGAGGCTACAATCTCCGGTAGCCCAGCGAGCCTGCTGCGCCAGTCGCCCGTGGGTCCGTTGCTCCTGCAGCTCAGAGTTAGTCGCGGAGCCAGTTACTCCAGTAGTCCGGAGGCTACAATCTCCGGTAGCCATAGTGCGCGCCGCTCCTGTTGCCCGTGTGTCTGCAGCTTCACCTGTCGTCTCCTATCTCTTCTCCTCTCACAGTCCCTCCTCCTCCTCACTTACCGGTCAGGAGGGACGCGAAAGGAACATGATTTTTAATTACAAAAGTTAAAGAAAGTTGGTGTAATGTGTGGGAAGTGACGCCATGTCAGATATGCTTCCCCTTCCACCTTCTAAACGGCTCCATCCAGCCAGACCTCATTGGAGGATGATACCACTTTCAGCACGCGAAAAGGGATTCTGAATGGTGGATGCCACGTCGACAATGTCTGGATGAAGCGGGGATGGATCCAGCCAGCCAGAATCAACACCCGCGCCCTTGCAGTCATAGCAATCACTGACCGACCCATCTGATCTGAACCCAAGAATGTATCGGGTAGGTTCCCGATACTGTACCAGGGTTATGAGCAATAGGAGGTTTCTTTTCAAAAATTAATTATGAAGTCAATTCATGACCTGCTCTAATGTTCAGGATGCTCAAGAAGTTCAGGGGCTTCACCTGGGTTCATACATTTGCGCTTTCGAGTTCCACCAGCACCTAGATTCCAAATTTTATAAGACTCGCACCCCCAAACTTCTACACACACACCCTCAGCGCTTTCACAGGCAACGAAGACCCATCCAGCTCGACTGGGACTCAGGATGATGTCAAGAAACGATTTCACACACTTCTGTACAGTTGTTTACTGTACAGTATACACTACGGTTTTCAAGGAACCATTTCTGCTGATGATGAGCCAACTCCAACAACGGCTTTGTCGCTCGGCAGGATCGAGGGAAAGTTCGTTCGTGCAACAATCCCAAAGATTCGGGGTGGAGCAACCTTGGGGAGTGCACTGCAGTCATCCACTGTAACTTGCAACCCGTGGGAGCGACATCATTCAAGCTCCCTTTCCGCTCGGTTCAGGACGATACTGTGCAATCTGGAGCGGTCTTGTTGGTTCACCGCTCTGAACCGTTTTTTACTAGCCAACATCGATTTATACGAGCCGTGAACCAACAAATGTGACGCGCCGTGGCTGTTGTGGGTTCAGTATCTCAGTATCTCTAGTGACAGACGCTGCTCATTCGTGCCATATGCACATGCCAATGGCTCCAGTTACCAGTAACAGTCAGCTTTCCCGTGAACTAAGGATTGCCTTTAACTAGACAATAGTTGCTACTAGCCACTAACTAGGCAACAAAATGTCACCTGGTCTTAACTAGCTTACCACTAGCAAGGTTAGCAGCAAGTTCTGTCCTTCATCCGAACGCTTTCGCATGTCGCTCCAGTCAGCTCTCATCTGTAAGCTTTCGTTTCTTAGGTCGTGTCCCAACAGTACGTCTACAGCCATTTCTTCGTGGCTCAGGACGGTTCCACACGGTGGAAAGCGGTTCTCGAGCTTCACCGTTTTCACCGCGACGCACCGAAATAGACCACACCGAACGAACAAGAGACGTACTCTTGGGACACGTCCTTAGGCCATGCCGTTAACTGTGACCTATCAGGCTCCTCCCCCCATCCATAGAAACTTCTCCCCAGGGAGTTCTACCCCACAAGCACCAGCGGGACCCGTCGGGAGCGGAAAACCCGGCGGGAATGGCGGTGGAAAGCCCGGAAAGCCAGGACAAGGCGTTACGGTCGTAGGGTTTGTTCAACAAGCGCAGTTCGTGCAGTTCGTGCTTGACCCGTGGACGGCCCGAATATGCGCCGCGAGCGAGGGCGCATGCGACGCGTTAGGTTACGCTCCCGAGGAGCTAGAAGCGCTGACGCTATGCGGTTTAGTTGACGGCTTGCCGTTACCGGAATGGCTGCAGCTGGTTGCTCCCCTTGCCACCGGGGATCAGCGCGGCGCGAAGCTCAACGCGGTTTTGAGACCTGGAAGCGGAACAGACGGGACGGGCGGAAGCGTAGCGGAAACCGGGGGGGAAAACGCGGGGGGAATCGAAAATGAGGGTTTCGTTGGGGCGGACGGCATTGGCCGGTCCAGTAGCCGAAGCAGCGGAGGAGGTTCGGAAGCAGCGGGGTTGTCGCTGGTTCGGCGGAAGACTTGGGGAACGGGAGCTTGCGGCGCAGGCCGAGGCGGAAGCGGAAGCGGAGGCGGGGGAGTAAGGGCGGGGGTTTCCGGGGGTGCGGAGGTTTCAGCGCTGCACGCGGGGCTGCGCACGAGCACGTCTGAGGACGTGCGGTCGTTCTCGTCCACGTCAGACAGCTTTTCTCGGGACGGGTTCGCGCAGAATCAAATCTTTTCGGATGACGACGATCACGATGACGAGGACGACTATGTGCCGGACGGAATGGTTGGCGCGCAATGGGCGGAAGACGGCGCGGCGAGGCGGAGGAGCAGGCGGAGGCACAGGGAAGGGCGGAAGCGGCTCCAGCAGCAGCAGCGGGAACAGCAGCAGCAGCAGCAGCAGGGGAGGGAGCAGAGACAGGAGCAGGGAAAGGAGCAGTTGGCGAGGGAGCAGCAGGTGGTAACCGCTCTCGGCGAGTCTCGCGAAACGAGCAGTGGCGCGTCTGCTGCTGGCGGGAAACCCGTTCTGTTTTCCATCATGCTCCAGTACTTTGAGACCAACGGGGAGCGCGAGCTTGTAGCAACGGCGCACCCGCTCCCGCAGCAGCAGCCGCAGCAGCGGGAACAGCAGGGTGAACGGAATGTTGACGATGACGTTCACGCTGACGTTGACGTTGACGTTGACGATCCCGCGTCCCCATACCCCAAATCCTTTTCCCTTACCACTCAGCCACAGACGGGCTCCGGCGGCCCGGGCGCCTTGAGGTGCCTCTTAGTAGGCTCCTTGAACCACGGAAGCGGCTCGGAGCAGCATGACGGGAGCGTCCGCGGCGGGCAGGGTGCAGCGGGGGAGGTTGGCGGGATCGGCGGGAATGGCGGAAGTTGGGATGTTGGCGCGGGGGGAAGCGGGGGGGAGTTTAGGACGGCGGATAGTGGGGGAGAGTACAAGGCGGAGGGTAAGGTGGATGGTAATAGAGCGGGCTCGGCGCTTCGGCGGGAAGCTAGTCTAGGGACAGGGATTCGACGAGAGAGCAGCATAGGGGCGGGGCTTCGGCGGGAGAGTAGCATAGGCTCGGGGCGCTTACCGCCTTTGCATTCCCAGTCTCACGAAGGCCCCGCGAACGTTCCTCCGCATGCGTTTGTGCATGCCAATTCTCATGGGAACGTAGGCATGGGCGCGGGCGCGAGTGTAAACGCGAATGCGAGGGCGAATGTGAATGCAGCAGCGCAGATTAATCCGCAGCAGGTGGGGAATAGGCCGCGATTGAAGGAGTTTAAGGATAATGAGCTGACGTGGGAAGAGAAGGTGACGTGGCAGATGGGGGAAGGCGCGAGCGGGGGAAGCAGGGGGATAGGTGGCGGGGGCGTAGGGAGCGGGGGAAACAGGGCGAAGACGGGGAGCAGGTTGAGAAATGGGGGGAGAGGGGGAGGGGGACTGGGGCGCCAGCGAAGCTTGGACGCGAATTTCGTGCAAGAGATAGGATTCGCGAGTGAAAGTGATGACTCCGAGGAGGATTTCCCGCTCGGGCGGAGAGGGGGAGCGGACGAGGAGCGGATGGGGGGAGCGGAACGGTTTGGGGGAAGCGGAACCACGGTTGGAGGGGGAAGAATGGGGGGAGCGGGAGCGAGGGGGAAGACAGCGCGGGGAATGGTGGTTATGTCCCCCGAGAGGAGGTGGTGTGGGACGAGCGGAGGGGGAAGGGGGAAGACAGGGGGGTCGTGGGGCGGAGAGAGGGGGTTTGTGGCGGAAGAAGGGGAATTCGAGGCGGAGGGGGAGGCGAGGGGGGGAAGGAGGGGAGAGGGGAGGGCGGAAGGGAGGGCGGAGGGGAGGGGGGCGGGGAGGAGGCAGGAAAGAGACGAGCTGGACTCTGTTGTTGTTGGTGGTGGTGCTGGTCGTGATAGCGGTCGTGATAGGGGTGGTGGTGGTGATAGTGATGACGATGATGAGACTTGTATTGGGCCTACGAGGGCGCAGACGCTGGGAAGGCTGTCTGAAAGAACCGGGAGAAGAATGCGATTCAAATCAGGTGAGAACGGAAGAGAGAAGGAGACGGGTGGAGGTTTTAGAAGGGGAGATGGGGTGAGAAAAGACTCAATGGTTACCTCTTTGTCGCATTGACTTATGCACTTGCTTCTGTTATCCACCCAATTTCATCCCGCCCCTCAATACCCCATCCACCCCTCCCTCCCCACTCTCTCCCGATTCCCTCCATTCCCTCCTCCCCCTCTCCCACGCCCCACACCCCCTCTCTCCCCCACTTATCCCAAATACCCCCCTTTTCCCTCCCCACATCCCCATTCCCACCCACCCCTCCCCCCTCCGCCTCCACCCCCTGGGCAGAGGGCGGCGGTTTCACCCACTCATGGCTGGATGACGTGGCGGACTCCCATTGGCTCCCGGACCTGCACGTTCGGGCCCACCTGGACGAAGCAGGGATAGGCCTGGCGGGGCTCCGCCTGGGCAGTGGCGAGCTGGTTCACTGCAGCGCTGCTCTAGCTGCCATGCTGGGGCGACCAGTCAACGCCCTGGAAGGGTCTCCACTGCAGAACTTCCTCAGCGCCCCTGCCATTCGGAGCTTCCAGGTGGGTGGGTCTCCCAGCTTCCAGGCTGGCATGGGGGGCCTGTGCCGCTGTGCGGCTGGGCGTGTAGGCAGTGGCGAGCTGGTTCACTGCAGCGCTGCTCTAGCCGCCATGCTGGGGCGATCAGTCAACGCCCTGGAGGGGTCTCCTCTGCAGAATTTCCTCAGCGCCCCTGCCATACGAAGCTTCCAGGTGAGTTTCCTGTCTATGTTTGAGGCGCCTCAAAAATAGACCCAGCGCCCCTGCTTTTAGGAGCTTCAAGGTGGGTCTCCCAGCTTCCAGGCTGGCAATGGCTGGTCCCAATCCCTGGGAGGGTACCTGTTGTAAAATCTCCTCAGCCTGTTTGTCGCAAACAGACAGTCTGTCCGCCTGTTCTGTCCTCCCTCTCTCCCTCCCTCGCCCGCCTCCCCCCCAAAGGCCCCCCAAAGCTGTTTCAACAGCACCTCAGCTGTGACGCTTTCTTTGCAGCGCCTCAAAATAGACTCACTCCCCCACTCCCCCCCCCTCCCGTCTCCCCTGGCCCCCCCCACCCCCACCCACAGAGCTGGTTCGGCAGCATATCAGCAGCAACTCTTGCTTTGAGGCACCCCTCCCCTTTCCCATCTCTCCCCACCTCCCCTCCCCTCGCCTCCCCCCCCTCTCTTCCCCGCCTCCCTCCCCGCGCCCTCCGGTTCAGAGTTGGTTCGGCAGCATATCAGCAGCGACCCTGTCAGCACACGCACAGCACCTATCACCACATGCCACGTGGCACAGGCAGTCCCACCATGACCTGCCTGTCGTCATGCCAGGTGGGTCATACGTGTGTGTGTTCTCTGTGCTGTGCTCTTCCCTTCCAAACGCTGTGTGCTGCATGTTTCGTGCACTGTGCTTTTTGCCAGAGTGGCTCTATCATCGTTCTGCTTCTGTGGATGTTTCTGTGCCTGCTTGTTCACATCTGGGGAAGAAGGGGGAGAAGTGGAGGAAAGCAGTACTCAACGAAGCATCCCTTCACCCACCATCCTCAGGTGAAGTGGTCGGACTTGATTTCCTTGTCCCACTGTCGTACTTGTCCCCCATTCTCAGGAGGCAGCATGCGGCGCGTTCGCCTCACATGGCATGTGGCGCCAGCAGCAGATGCTGTGGCATGGGGTGTGTTGCTGGATCCAAGACACTTATGCCTCGACCCCCCCTCTCATATCCGTCCCCCCCTCTCATATCCGTCCCCCCAGCCGTCTCCCCACCCCTTCAACCCCACAGGAGGCAGCATGCGGCGCATTCGCCTCACATGCCACGTGACACCAGCAGCAGGTGGTGTGGGTGGTGTGGTGCATGTTGCTTGATCCGAGCTGCTTATGCCTCCACTCCTCCCCTCACTTCTCCTCTTCCCCTCTTCTCCTCCCCTATGTTCTTGTCACTCTTTTATCCCCCTTCCCAGGAGGCAGCATGCAGCGCATTCGTCTCACATGCCACGTGGCACCGGCAGCAGATGGGGCGGTATGGGGTGTGTTGCTGGATCCAAGGAACTTATGCCTCGTCCCCCTCCTCTCCTATCCTTCCCCCCTCCATCCACCTCCCTACAATCCCCCAGGAGGCAGTATGAGGCGCATTCGTCTCACATGCCACGTGGCACCGGCAGCAGATGGGGCGGTATGGGGTGTGTTGCTTGATCCAAGGAACTTATGCCTCGTCCCCCTCCTCTCCTATCCTTCCCCCCTCCATCCACCTCCCTACAACCCCCCAGGAGGCAGCATGCAGCGCATTCGTCTCACATGCCACGTGGCACCGGCAGCAGATGGGGCGGTATGGGGTGTGTTGCTTGATCCAAGGAACTTATGCCTCGTCCCCCTCCTCTCCTATCCTTCCCCCCTCCATCCACCTCCCTACAATCCCCCAGGAGGCAGTATGAGGCGCATTCGTCTCACATGCCACGTGGCACCGGCAGCAGATGGTGCGGGTGGGGCGAGGGGCGATGACCCCCCTTCCATGTTCATGGCTCTCTTCTGCGACCTCTCTGCTGCTCTGCACGGCTCCAAGGTGAGAGGTGCTGTTGCAGGTGCCGGGGGTTTGAGGTGGGTGGTGTGGTGGGAGCAGGAGGAGGGAGGGAGGTAAGTGAGGGGCGATGACCCACCCTCCATGTGCAGGGCTCTCTTCAGCGACCTCTCTGCTGCCCTGCACGGCTCCAAGGTGAGGCGTGCTGGTGATGGGTTGGGAGCAAGGGAGCATGGTTGGAGAGAAGAGAAGATGAGGGAGGGAGGGAGGCTGGTGGTGGCCCCTATCCCTCACCCGCCCTCCATGTGCATGGCTCTCTTCAGCAACCTCTCTGCTGCCCTGCACGGCTCTAAGGTGAGAGGGGTGCTGAGACGACTTAGGGTTCCAAGATAAGTGGTGTTGAAGGTGGGGTGGGAGCAAGGGAGCAAGGTTGGAGAGAAGAGAAGAGGAGGGAGGCTGGTGGTGGCCCCTCCACCCTCACTCCCCTCCCTCCATGTTCATGGTTCTCTTCAGCAACCTCTCTGCTGCTCTGCATGGCTCCAAAGTGAGAGGTGGGTGCTGCTGAGGGCCTTGAGACGTCTCATGCATCCAAGGGAATGCTGCTGTGGGTGGGTACGGGGGCAAGAGGAAGGAGGGAGGCGAGGGGTGAGGGGCGATGACCCCCCTCCATGTTCATGGCTCTCTTCAGCGACCTCTCTGCTGCTCTGCACTGCACAGCTCCAAGGCCAGTAGTGGGGGTTTGATATGTGTCACAACTCCAAGGTGACATGCGCTTCCCTGCTCCATACCCCATCCCACCCTACTCCACTGCACTTAACCGTATTTCACCCTCCTCCAAACCGGCCCACCGCTTTCCACCCCACTGCACAACAGGAGGTGCGAGCCAAGAGGTGCGCTTTCATTCTGCAGCACCTGCCAGCAGGGGTGGTGCACATGCTTCCAGAGGAGCGAACCAGAGGGGGAAGCGGAGGCGGGGGGAACGGTGGGGGGAGCAGCAACAGTGCTGGCAGTGGTAGGGGCAGCAGGGGGGAGAGGAGCGGTGGCGGCAGCAGCAACGGGGATGAGGTGGTTATTAACCCTCATATGGAGGCAATTACGGGGTATTCACGGGAGGAGCTGAGCACAGTGGATTCGTGGTTCTCGTGCCTCTTCAGGGAAAGAGCCGAAGAGGTGAGAGATAGGGAGAGTGGGAAGGAGAATGAGAAGAGTATGGTTGAATCGTGGAAGCAGCCTTCCCATTTCCTAAACCACCTCCTTCCAAGTGCGGCAAATCCTGGAGGCAGATCGTGCGATGGGGTTCCAAGAATCAAGGACTTTAAGGATGGTGCGGAGGGATGGAGAGCCGCGGTGGCTGTAGGTGGCTGTGAGGGACTGCATGTGTGCCAGGATGAGAGGGGATGGGTTTGACAGTAGTGCACATGCCTGTTTCTCTTGCCCATTTCCCATCTTACTACCACCCCCACAGGTGCGGGTGAGGCAAATCCTGGAGGCAGATAGTGCAAAGGGGTTCAGAGAATCGAGAACACTGATAATGGTGCGGAGGGATGGCGAGCCGCGGTGGTTAGAGGTGGCGGTGAGGGACTATGGGGCGGGAGGGGGGCGACCTGTGGGTGGGTGGTAGCATCAACAGATTAATTCGTGTGTACATGGCTCTCCTGCCCCCACACCATCCCCACAGGTGCGGCAAATCCTGGAAGCGGACAGGGCGATGGGGTTCAGGGAGTCGAGAACACTGAGGATGGTGCGGAGGGATGGAGAGCCGCGGTGGTTAGAGGTGGCTGTGAGGGACTGTGGGGCGGGAGGGGGCGACCTGTGGGTGGTGAGCGACATCACAGACCATCTGATCGTGCGGGAGAAGTTCCGCCTGCTCTATGAGGCCTCCTCGGTGAGTGGTAGGCTCTTTGATTGATTGCTTCCCCTTGGTTTGCTCCCTCTAGTTATCACATCTGTGGCCCATTGGTGGTCACATTTTGTGACCTGCGCACCACCACGCCTGTGGGTGGTGAGCGACACATCACGGACAGACGGATCATCTGATCGTGAGTGAGGGAAAAGTTCTGCCTGCTCTATGAAACCTTTTGAGCATTCTCAAAAGATGTTACTTTTGAAAATTCTCAAAAGTTCCGCCTGCTCTATGAAGCCTCCTCGGTGAGTGAGAGGTGGTGTGCTCTTGTTTGATGCTTGGATCGCTCAACGTTCCAACCATCACTCTTGAGGCGCCTCAAAAGCCATCACTCACATTTGATGACCCCCGCACCCATCGACGATCACATTGGTGCGACGTCAAGCACTGCTTGCCTGCGCTGCAATGTGCTTGACGGCACTCTCTCCCCCTCCACTCCACCCTTCCCCATCCCCTCAGGACGGCTGTCTTGTGTTTGATGACACAGGCATCACGGAGTGCACTTATGAGCTGAAATGCTAGCCATAAGTGCTTTCACATTTCACACACATTTCAGCTCACAGCTGCTGCCACGCTACGCCATGCCTCCTACGTGGGGATCCATTGGTCTTCCCCATCCCCTCAGGACGGCTGTCTTGTGTTTGATGACACAGGCATCACGGAGTGCAACGACGCTGCCATGCAAAATGCACACAATGCCGCCCCCCTCTTCACTCTCCCCCCCCCCCCCCCCCCCCCCCCATTCCCTCTCCTCCCCACGTCTCTAGGATGGCAATCTTGTGTTTGCTGACACGGGCATCACAGAGCGCAACGACGCTGCCATCCACTGCCTGCGCTGCAGCAATGTGCTCTCCTGTTCCTGTCCCGTCCATGCTTAATTGCTGACTTTCCTCTTCCCACCTGCTCTCAGGATGGCTACCTTGTATTCGATGACACGGGCATCACGGAGAGCAACGATGCTGCCATCCACTGCCTGCGTTGCAATGTGCTCTCGGTCTTACCCTCCCTCCCACTTCCATCTATTCCCACCCGTCCTCCTTCCACATACGCTCCCTCAGGACGGCTACCTTGTGTTTGATGACACGGTCATCACGGAATGCAGCGACGCAGCCATCCGCTGCCTGCGCTGCACCCTGCTCTCAGTCTCACTCTCCCTCCCCTCCCACTCCATCTATTCCCACCTGTCCTCCTTCTGCATTCACTCCCTCAGGACGGCTACCTTGTATTCGATGACACGGGCATCACGGAGTGCAACGACGCGGCCATCCACTGCCTGCGCTGCAGCGACAAGAGCGAGCTCATCGGGCGGCATCCCGCGTACTTTTCCCCCGAGCGCCAGCCAGACGGGCAGCGGTCGGACGAGAAGGCGGTTGAGATGGTGGCGCTGGCGACCGAGATGGGCATGCACAAGTGAGTAGAGAGAAAGGAGGTGTGAGATATGAGCACGAGTGAGTAGAGAGAGCGACAGGCATGGTTGTTACTTTACAAGTATCCGGCGCATGAGTGAGAGAAATGGAAAACTGGCACGAGCGGGTCGGACGAGAAGGTGGTCGAGATTGTGGCTCTGGCGACTGAAACAGGCATGCACAAGTGAGTTCAGATGAAAAGAGCGTGCATGGACTGAGGTGCCGCGTATGCCTGCTCGTAAGCGAGTTGCCTGATAGATGAGATGAGAGAGCCTTGATGCACCTCAGCACTGCTGGCTCTGGCGACTGAAACGGGCATGAGCTGTGAGAGATGAGCTGATATGAGCTGTGAGAGGTGAGCTGATATGAGCTGTGAGAGGTGAGCTGATATGAGCTGTGAGAGGTGAGCTGATATGAGCTGTGAGAGGTGAGCTGATATGAGCTGTGAGAGGTGAGCTGATATGAGCTGTGAGAGGTGAGCTGATATGAGCTGTGAGAGGTGAGCTGATATGAGCTGTGAGATATGAGCTGATATGAGCTGTGAGAGGTGAGCTGATATGAGCTGTGAGAGGTGAGCTGATATGAGCTGTGAGAGGTGAGCTGATATGAGCTGTGAGAGGTGAGCTGATATGAGCTGTGAGAGGTGAGCTGATATGAGCTGTGAGAGGTGAGCTGATATGAGCTGTGAGAGGTGAGCTGATATGAGCTGTGAGAGGTGAGCTGATATGAGCTGTGAGAGATGAGCTGATATGAGCTGTGAGAGATGAGCTGATATGAGCTGTGAGAGGTGAGCTGATATGAGCTCTGCATGGATTGAGCTGACGCGTCTGCATGCTCGTAAGCGAGTTGCCCGTGGAACACACTCTCTCCTTCTATCTCCTCGAATACAACTGCCCCATGCACATACATGGTCGAGCTGGTTTTTGAGAATTCTCAAAAACCGCCCCATGCACATGGTCGTCTCGTCTGGCACCCCCCTCCCAGCTCAGAGGCGTCTCAAAAGCTCCTCTCACCCCCACCTCCCCCCACCCGTGCAGGTTTGAGTGGATGCACATGCGGAAGGATGGCTCGCTCTTCCCCGTAGAAGCGACTCTCTCCTTTCTTCAGCTCGAGCACAACCGCCCCATGCACATGGTCGTCTGGCACGACTTATCCAAAGCTCCCTCTCTCCCTCCCTCCTTCCTTCCCTTCCTCCTCCCCGCCCACCATCCTCCCATGGGCCCAGGTTTGAGTGGATGCACATGCGAAAGGACGGCTCGCTCTTCCCCGTGGAGGTCACCCTCTCCTTCCTGCAGCTAGAGCACAACCGCCCCATGCACATGGTCGTCTGGCACGACCTCTCGGAAATCAAGCGCCAGGCACAGGAGCTGCAGGCAGCTAAGGAGGCGGCGGAGAGGGCCAACCAGGCAAAGAGCCAGTTCCTGGCGAATATGAGCCACGAGATCCGCACCCCCATGAATGGTGAGCCGATTTTTATTAGTTTGACTCAAATCTGTGCTGTAAGTTGTCTGGCGCGACCTGTCGGAGATCAAGCGCCAAGCGCGATTTTTAGGCGCCCAATCCTTTTTCTGAGGCTCCTCACGACTTGTTCGAAATCAAGCGCCAGGCATGGGAGCTTCAGGCGGCTAAGGAGGCGGCGGAGAGGGCGAACCAGGCCAAGAGCCAGTTCCTGGCGAATATGATGCGCCATGAGATCCGCACCTCCATGAACTCCCCTCCTTCCTCCCTCCTTCAATCCCTCAGGAGTCGTCGAGGTGGCGGAGGGAGGGAGGGGCGAACAGGAGCTCCTGTTTGGCACAGTCCTAACCGCCACGCAGCGCAGTTAGGTCCAGCGCTCATACCTCGAGTCGAGATCATCCGTTTCTCTGGCGACAATCTCCTGAGAATCATCTTGGACGTGCTCGACCTCTCCAAGATCGAGTCCACGAATCTAGCGCTGGAGAACATCGAGTTCAACATGCACCACTTGCCACCTCACATCCCTTCAACCCCTCTTCCTTCCCCTCCCCTCTTCCCTCGTTTCCCTCTCCCCCCTCCCCCCCAGGTGTGATCGGAGTGGCAGAGCTCCTGCTAGGCACGGACCTCACAGCCGAGCAACGCTCGTACCTCGAAATCATTCGCTCTTCAGGAGACAATCTTCTGCGAATCATCTCGGACGTGCTCGACCTCTCCAAGATTGAATCCAAGAATCTAGCGCTGGAGAGCATCGATTTCAACATGCACCAGCAGGTGACGGAGGCTCTGGCGCTGCTGGAGGTGGTGGCCAAGGACAAGGGATTGTTCCTGGAGCTGGATATTCATGACGAGGTGAGGGCAGGAGGGGGGTGGGGTGTGAGATGCACTGGTTGCTGTTGGTACGGGCGATTGATATCACCATGCGGCAATCCGTGTATGGAAAGTCCAAGAATCTAGCGCTGGAGAGCATCGAGTTCAGCATGCACCAGCAGCTGACGGAAGCTCTGGCGCTGCTTGAAGTGGTGGCCAAGGACAAGGGGCTGTTCTTAGAGCTGGATATCCATGACGAGGTGAGAAACGGTGATGACTGTTTGCTGGAACTGGTGTTATGAGCACATAGAGGGAGGGACGGAGAGTTCAGCAGGTCATGGAGGCTCTGGCGCTACTGGAGGTGGTGGCGAAGGACAAGGGGCTCTACTTAGAGCTGGATATCCATGACGAGGTGAGAATCAGTGGCTGCTATTGGTGGAAGTGGTGCTGCTGGAACTGCTGGAAGTGGTGGCGAAGGACAAGGGGCTCTTCTTGGAGCTGGATATTCATGAAGAGGTGAGACAAGGAGCAGCTGGATATCCAAGGAGATTTCAGCTGGAGGGTAGTGAGTCGCAGTTGCACATAGAGAGCTGGTCCATAGCATGCAGTTGTTGGGTTCAAGAAACATCGCATGCAACAGCAGGATAGATAGATAGGGGTTTATAGTAGCAGCTGTTCATCGTATCACGTCCTTTACCTTCCCCTCACGTCTCTTTGTTTTCGCCCGTTCTCTCCCCTTCCGTTTCCTGTGCTGTTCCCTCTTCCCTCCTGCAGGTGCCAGCGGTGGTGATGGGGGATCCTGTGAGGCTGCGGCAAGTCCTGCTGAATCTGATCTCTAATTCCATCAAGTTTACTGAAACGTGAGTGCGTGAATAAGGACTGAGTGATCAAGGGCTAGTATGTGGGTCTCCGCCCACATACTACTGACTGACTGACCTACCGCCGCCGTATCCCATACTACTACTGACTGAGGGCAAGCACTCCTCAGGTAGGTGGGATTCGGCGGTCGGTGCTTCTGAATCTGAACTGAACCTCACTCGCTTGCTCCTTGTCCTCTCCCTCCTCTCCTCCCCACCCCAGTGGCGGCATCACAGTGATTCTGCGCCTGGCCACGCAGGTAGAGCTGGGGGAGGTGGAGGAGGTGAGGAGGGAGAGCCACAATAACAGGCTCAGTGAAGCACCTCCGAAGAGACCTCAATGCTTACGTATTCCCTTCCTCCTCCCTTCATTCCCTCCCCAGTGGCGGCATCACAGTGATTCTGCGGCTGGCCACGCATGCAGAGCTGGGGGAGGTGGAGGAGGCGAGGAGGGAGAGCAGCAAGTGTATGAGCATGCAGCGGGGCGAGAGCAAGGAGAAGGGCGAGAGCGGTGCTGCTGGCAACCTGTTGACCTCTGCCGAGGGAGGAGCAGGAGGAGGAGGAGGAGGAGGAGGAGCGGGAGTAAAGACTGGAAGCGGCAGTGGTGGTGGTGGTTCAGGAGGAAAGGGAGAAAAGGGTGAGAAGGGAGAGAAGGGAGCGGTGAAAAGAAGAGAAGCAGAAGAGTCAGAAGGGGCAGGGAAACCAGAGGATGGTGTGGTGGTGCGGTTTGAGGTGCGGGACACAGGAGTGGGCATGGACGAGGCAGCCAAGGGGCGGCTGTTCAAGGCGTTCTCCCAGGCTGATAACTCCACGAGTCGCCGATACGGTGGCACGGGGCTGGGACTGGCCATTTGCAAGAGCCTCTGTTTTCTTATGGGGGGGGATATCGGCATGCACAGCCAGGTGAGGCTTGGGGGGGGGAGGGGGAAGGGGGAGGCGGAGGGGGTAGGGTTGAAGGGGAGGGGGAGGAGGCGGCGGAGGCGGAGGGGATAGGGTAGAAGGGGAGGGGGAGGAGGCGGCGGAGGGGAAGAATCTGGGGAGATTGTGGTGGGGTTTGGGCGGGTGGGTGGGTGTGAGAGAGGGGAGGGGGTGGGCATGGACCCAGTTGCCAAGGGGCGGCTGTTCAAGGCGTTCTCCCTGGCTAATAACTCCACGAGTCGCCGATACGGCAGCACCAGGCTGGGGCTCGCGATTTGCAAGAGCCTGTGCTTCCTCATGGGGGGGGATATCGGCATGCACAGCCAGGTGAGGGAGTTTTTCTACAGAAGGGGGAGAGGGAAAAAAGAGGGAGGAAAGGTGGAGTGGGGATGAGGGGCTGGGGTTGGCGATCTGCAAGATCCTGTGCTTCCTCATGGGGGGGGATATCGGCATGCACAGCCAGGTGAGGGGAGGGGAGGGGCGGGGGGAGAGTGAGAAGGGGGCGAGACGGTGGTGGTTCAGTGTGGTCGGTCCGGCACCAAATTCAAATCCCTTGCCTCCCTCCCCTCCCATCCCCATTGTCCGCTTTACCTTAGGTGGGAGAGGGATCAACCTTTTTCTTCTACGTGAGAATGCAACGAGTCAACCCCAAGGAGAGCGACACGAGCAGCGATGCAAACCCAAAACCATTCCTTCTCTCCCCTGTGATCCCCTCCTCTTCACCAGGTGGGAGTGGGCTCGACCTTTTTCTTCTACGTGAGGATGCAGCGAGTCAACCCCAAGGAGAGCGCCAAGCCAAGCCAGGCGCTGTGATCTGCTCTGCACTGCTCACACATGATTGGTTGTTCCTATCCCTGTTGTCCCCTCCAGGTAGGAGTGGGGTCCACCTTTTTCTTCTACGTGCGAATGCAGCGGGTGAACCCCAAGGAGAGCGCCAAGCCAGCAGGGGAGAGCGCCACAAGCAGCGACGCGGAGCCGCTGTGGGTGCAGCTGCAGCACATGCGCGTGCTGGTGGCCGAGGTGAGAAGGGTGACTTGAGAGGTTGTGGTGATAATAACGAACGTTTGTGTATGTATCATGCCACATGTGTGTGTTGCCGCTGTGGGTGCAGCTGGAGCACATGCGCGAGGTGAGGGAGAGGGGTGATTGTAGGGGTTGTGATTGTTCCAGATGTGACAGTAGGGGGTTACTGCTACAGTAGCAAGGCAGGGGAGAGCGCCACGAGCAGCGATGCAGAGCCGCTGTGGGTGCAGCTGCAGCACATGCGGGTGTTGGTGGCCGAGGTGAGGAGAGGAGGGTGTGATTGTTAGGGTTGTGACTGTATGGGCTGTTAGGGGTTGTGACTGTAGGGGTTGTGGCTCTAGGGGTTGTCACATCACGAGGGGGGTGTTTCCACGAGCAGCGATGCGGAGCCGCTGTGGGTGCATCTGCAGCACATGCATGTGCTAGTGGCCGAGGTGAGGGGGGTTGTGACTCAAAAGGGTGTGGCTAAAACAGGTGTGTGTGGATGTATCAGTTGTGTGTTGCCCCTTGCAGTCAGTAAGAAAGGCTCACTCCCTCACTGACTAGCCATGCCCCCAACCCACCTATCCCCCAACAACCCACCCCCCACCAGGACAATAAAGTGAATCAGATGGTGGCGACGACGCGCATGCTGCACAATTTGGGGCTCAAATACGACGTGGTGGAGAATGGCCGACTTGCTGTGCAGGCGTGCTGTGAGAGAGGCTCGGCTCGGCCCAACAGCCCCCCCATTCCCCCCACAACCACCTGTTCTCTTCTGCCACCAGGACAACAAGGTGAATCAGATGGTGGCGACGCGCATGCTGCACAACCTGGGGCTCAAATACGACGTGGTGGAGAATGGGAGACTTGCTGTGCAGTCGTGCTGTGAGAGAGGCTCGGCCCAACAGCCCCCCCATTCCCCCCACAACCACCTGTTCTCTTCCTGCCACCAGGACAACAAGGTGAATCAGATGGTGGCAACGCGCATGCTGCATAACCTGGGGCTCAAATACGACGTGGTGGAGAACGGCAGGCTGGCGGTGCAGGCGTGTGTTGACAGGCACTACGACGTGGTGCTCATGGTGGGTGGATATGCATTGCCTGCGATGCCTTGGAGGTGGTGGTTAAGTGAGTGAGTGTGTGATGGTGATGTTGATAGCGGTGGTGGTGGTGGTGATGTTGATGGTCATGGTGAGAGACGATGGTACTAAGATGCTATGTGCAATCACAACAGGATGTGACAGCGAGTGAGAACTGCAAATTCCTTTTTGACCTTTGAAAGCGATTCTCTTCCATTGTGTATCATCTGCCCTTCCCCCACCAGGACTGCCACATGCCTGACATGGACGGGTATGAAGCCACCCGCCACATACGGGCCATGGAAGAGGAGAGACTCACTGCCTATGCTGCTGCTTGTGCTGGTACTGTTGCTCCTCCTAATTCCTTCTCGTCAACGCATTCCCCTCCCTCCCCTCTCTCTCCTCCCCACCAGGACTGCCACATGCCTGACATGGACGGGTATGAAGCCACCCGCAACATACGAGCCATGGAAGAGGAGAGATTCGCTGCCTATGCTGCTGCCGGTGGTGGCAGGGGCAGCAGCGGTGGTGGTGGGTACGGGAGGAGTGGCAGCAGGGGGGGTTACGGTAGCAGCACAGACGGTGATATGAGCGAAGCGAGCTCTCCCAGCCACCCCCACAGCAGCAGCTCTCGCACCCGCCGCTCCCACCGGCCGCGCCGGACGTTCATTGTGGCGCTTACCGCATCGGCTCTTAGCGAGGATAAAGACTCGTGCATGGCAGCGGGAATGGACCATTACTTAGCTAAGCCCATTCGGCCACGGGACCTAGAGAGAGTGATAAGAGAGGGGATGGTGAAGAGGAGGAGAGAGTCTATTAGTGAGGAGGCGGGGGCAGCTTTTTCTGAGAAAGGGTGTGAGGGGAGTGAGGGGTCATTGTCCCCTCAGATGGCTTATAAAGGGGATGAGGGGCCGGTGTCCCCTCTTTATAAGGGCTCTGAGAGGGGTGGAAGGGCGGTATCCCCTTATAGGGGGGGTTATGACGGGGGGGAGAGGCCTTTGTCTCCCTTGACGTTTAAGCAGCGGCATGAGCGGGGAGAGCAGGGGTGGCCACAGCAGCGGCCACAGCAGCAGCCACAGCAGCAGCCACAGCAGCAGCAGCAGCAACCGGAGCAGAGGGGTCAACACAGAAGGGATGAGGGGCGAGGGAGTGGGGGGAGAGGAGCAGGGAAGAGTTCTATAAGGGGAGGGATGGCAGGTGGGGAGGGTAGAGATCAACGGAGGGAGGGGAGAGGGGAGAGTGGAGAAGGGAAGGGAGACGGGAGAGGAGGAAGCAAGCTCCCGCCGACCGTCCCAGTTGTTGGCGGGAGCACTGGAAATTCAGGTGAAAAATCAGGTGGGTATTCAGGTGGGGGAGGAATAAAACATGGTGTTGGTGGTGGTGTGGGGTTCGGCCCTAGTCCGTCCTTTGGTGCTTGGGGCGGGCGAGACGTGCGAGAGTGGGGAGAGGGGCAGGGAGGCCAATGGTCGGAGGAAGGAAACGAGGAAGGGGGGGAGGAAGAGGAGGAGGAAGAGGAGGAGGAGCAGGAGGAGGAGGAGGAAGCGATGGTAGAGGTGCCTAAGAAACCAATGGGTTTCGCTCCTAGTCCGTCCTTTGGTGCTTGGGGAGGGGGGCACAGGGTACAGGGTCTGAGAGTTGAAGTCTCGACTGAGGGAGAGCAGGACACCATGCTTGAAGGCCCTCCCATGCAGCAACAGCAGAAGCAGCAGAAGCAGCAGCAACAGCAGAGAAACCACCAGCAACAGCAGCAACAACATCAGCAGCGGCGTCAGCAGCAGCAACAGCAGCAGCAGCCACTACCATCCCCTAGAAGGAGCCCCCACCAACAGCAACGCCACCCCCTCCCTCCTCACCCCTCACCCCATTCCGCCTCTGCAGCTGCCACCACTCGTCACGCCCCTCCTCCTTCCCCCACACATCCGCCAAACCAGCAGGCTCCCCCTTTCCCCTCTTCTAATCAGGCTGGGGGGCAAACCTCCCGGCCAGGTTCAGGAAGAGGAGGTTCGTCAGCGGAGCCGCTGCAGTCGCCCAGGCCCGGCCAGTCCACACCTGAGGGACAGGGTTGGGAAAGGCCAAGTCCACGGGGTGGGTATGGCGGAGTGCAGAGCGGTGACGATGGGTCAAGTGCGGGGTCCCCTTCCAGTGTTCGGTCTTGGGGGAGGGGTGGAGGCGAAGGAGGGTGGGGGGAGGGGGGTGATACTGTTGAGAGAGGGAGGGAGAATGGGAGGGAAGGGGGAAGGGAGAGGGAGAGAGTGAGGGAGAGAGATATGGAAAGGGAGAGGGCGAGAGATAGGGAAAGGGAAATGGAGAGGGAGCGTGAGAGAGAGTTAGGAGAATTGTCGGATACAGGGAGTGTGGTGGTGAAGGGGGATGGGTGGAGTGCCGGGGAGAGACTTAGTGATGTGGAGGAGAGGGATGGGGAGTGGGACGAAGGAAGGGAGTGGGGGAGGGGGAATGAGGGCGAGAGGAAGGATGAAAGAGAGAGGGGGCGAGAGAGGAGGCGAGAGAGGGAGGAAGAAGAGGACGAGGAGGAAGTGGAGGAGATGGTTGGTGTTCCTGAAACAAGACGAAGCAGAACAGCAGGGGCGAGTGAAAACAGGCAAGTGGAGGAAGGGAGAGATGTGTGGAGAGAACAGGAAACAGTGGAAGTCGGAGTGAGAGGATGGAATGGTGGGAGACACGGGAGGAGAGGGAGTGGTGGAGAGGGTTATGGGGAGGTGGAGCGCGGTGAAGTGGAGGTGGAGGAGACGAGAAGAAGCAGCACCATGGGGAGAGTAGAGGCGATGAAAATTAGAGGCGAGAAGGGGAAGGGCTGGGAGAGGAGAAGTGTGTGGGAGGGGGAGGAAGGGTGGGAGAGGAGAAGTGTGTGGGAAGGGGAGGAAGGGTGGGAGCAGGAGAGGGTGGAGGCGAAGGATGGGAGGAGAGGAAGGCGGAGTAGTTTAGATGGGGGGGATGTTAGCAGGATTGATACAAGCCGGGAAGCATTCAAAGGTGGTGATATCCGAAGACCTGCTATTTCTGGGCAGAAACACGATTCTGAGAATGGGCATGAGCATGACAGTAGCTCTGCAAGGCAAATCGCCCCAACCGCAAGAAGAGACTCGTGGGATTCTAAGGACAGTGGGGGAGGGGGAGGGGGAGTGGGGATTGTGAGAGGAGGAGGGCCAGAGACGGAGGATGAGAGGATGATTCGAGAGTTTGCGCTAGCAGCGCTGACGTCCAAAGGGAGGGGTATGGCCTTGGGGAGGAATTTGGGTCCGAGTGTTGTTGCCCCCACTCGTCCCCTTCTTGGTGCTCCCTCTTCAAGTGCTGTTGCGGCCGGTTCTGCCGGTTCTGGTGCTGGTGGTGCCGGTTCTGCCGGTGCTGGTGGTGCTGGTGCTGGTAATGCTGGTGGTGCTCGTATTACAGCACCCTCGATAGAGGAGGTGTGGGAGAAAATCAAATCTCCCACGGCAGCAACAGCTGCAGCCGCAGCAGGAGAAGCAGGAGGAGGAGTAGGAGGAGGAGGGATGGGTGGTGGGATGAGTGGGAGAGGGATGGCAGGAGGGGGAAGAAGGGGGAGGGGAACGGAGGGGAGAGGCAGGGGGGCAGCAGGAGGGGGTGGGGGGCGGGGAACAGCAGTAGGGGGAAGGGAGGCTCTGTCAGGGGGGAGAGGAGCAGGTGTAGGGGGAGCAGCAGGAAGGGGAGGAGGGGTAGGGGGGCCAGGAGGGAGGGGGGCATGGGGAAGGGGAAGAGGGGATGCGTTCGGAGGGGAAGGGCGGGGGGGAGGAGGGGGAGGAGGAAGAGGGGGAGGAGGAGGGGAAGGGGGAGGAGGGGGAGGGGGAAGAGGGGAAGGGGGAGGGAGAGGGGAAGGGGGAAGTGGCAGAGGTACTGTAGCAGTAGCAATGAAGCCTCCGCACAGAAGAACTCCATCCAACGGCTCAGATCAGGAGTCACGTAATCAAGGGCCAGGATCGACCGGGCCTCAGAATCGACGGCTGGGAATGAGCAAATCGCCCATCAAGATCCCTCCAAGGCCCACAGGGGGGTTCGAAGGCTGGGGGGGAGGGGGAGCGGGCGGAGGGGGAGGGGGAGGAGGGGGAGGAAGGGGAGGAGGAGGAGGAGGGGGAAGAAGTCCTGGTTTCAGCCCTAAACCACCAGTAGCTGCTGCAACCACCGCCAACACCACCACAGGTGGCAGCAACAGTGGTGGTGCTGTTGGGAGTGCTAATGCCAGTGGAAGTGGCATTAGCAGAAGTGACTCTAAGGAGGGGCGAGGGGTGGTGCATGGTGGTGGGAGTGGGAGAGAACAAGGGGGGAAAGGGCAAGGGGTAGGCCGAGCTCCAGAGAGTGAGCTTTTGGGGTATGGGGAGGGCAGGGACGGTAGAGAGGGTAGAGAGGGAACAGGGAGAGGTGGTGAGGGGAGCGAGAGGAGCAGCAGTGGTAGTGGGGGTGGAAGGGGAGGAGGAAGCGGGGTAGCAGAGGGGAGGAGGCAAGGAGAGAGTGGTGCAGAGCGGTGGAAAGGGGAGAGGGGGGGGCGGGGCGAGGAGGGAAGAGAGGGGAGGGAGGGGCAAGATGGAAGAGGGGAAAGAGAGAGGAGAGGAGGGGAGGCATCTCGAGCAGGAGGGGAGGGCTCTCGGCCGTTAGTGCATGGTGTACGAGAGGAGGGACGAGAGGGAAGAGGAGGGGAGGGATACCGTGGAGGAGGGGAGGTAGCTCGGCTGTTAGTGCGCAGTACGAGCATGGAGCCGCCGTTGCTGCAGCAGCAGCAGCAGCAGCAGAAGCGCACAGGGTCAGAGCAGAAGGCGGCACAGGACCTGCGCATGTGGATTGAACGCGCACATAACCCACAAGTTGACAAATGGATCTCCCAGGTGAGGGTAGTCAGTGGGTCTGCCGGGTGTAGGCAGTAGTAGGACGAGTGCTTGAGCGCAGCAGGGTCAGAGCAGAAAGCAGCACAGGACCTGCGCATGCGGATTGAACGCGCACACAACCCACAAGTTGACAAATGGATCTCCCCGGTGAGAACAGTGAGCGGGCCTGGTATTATGGTAGTCGTAGGACGCGTGTTTGAGTACAGGTTCAGAGCAGAGGGCGGCACAGGACCTGCGCATGTGGATTGAGGGCGCACCCAACCCACAAGTGGATAAATGGATCTCCCAGGTGAGGGTGGTCAGTGGGTGGATTTCCCAGTGACGAGAGTAGGTGAAGAGGTGGCTTTTGAGTCGACTGAAAGAAGAGAGAGAGGGGGGGAGAGAGAAACAGCTTTCAGACATCCTGCTTGGTTTTGTTTTCCTCAATTGCGCACTTTCATCAACCCACTACACCCCCCATTCTGTAGGTCGAGGCAAACAGCACGCCGCCCAGACATGCAGCGCACAAGAAGACGAGGAGCGAGGTGCCGGCCTTTTTGCCGCCCCTCTCCTCCAGCCCGGGCGGCACGGGCTCTCTGCGCCGCTTGCAGAGCTCTCCCCCCATATCCCCAGGTAATAGCCCCCATAATAGCCCAGGAAATAGCCCTGATAACAAGGGAAATTGTAGGGTAAACAGTAGCAGGAACCACGGAGGTGGCGGTGGTGAGGGAGATTCATGGGCTCGTAGGAGGGTTGAGTTTAATGAAGGTGGTGATGAGGAGGATTACCAGTTTGTGGGTCAGCAGAGGAGCAAGTCTGATGGAAATTCGTCCATGAAAGCAGCACGTGAAGCAGAGCGGATGCGAGAGGCTGATGGGCACAGAGGCGGTGGAGGTCCGAGGACGAGGATGAGCTAAATATGAATATGACTAATTTAAGGCTAATTTTAATATGCATGTCCGCAAAGACTGCACTAGTTGCAGATTATGCACTAATTTAATTGTATATGTACAGGTTGTAATGATGTTCAAGAGCAGCTGAGAGGACATGCCCAGAGAAATCTAGTACCGTGCATGCATGCTCATGCTATGTGAACATAATTGGGTCAAGCAAAATATATATAAACTGTAATATGAACCAAGTGCATATCCATTCAGGCTGCTATAAAGCTAGCTGCTTCGCTGGACCACTGGCATCATGCGCATTTCCCATCTCTTCGCCGCAGCCACCAAACTGCAGCCCACCGGATAACGCTTCCATCCGACCAGGGCATCTCCGATGCCACGTGGCACGAGCAAACCACACGAAAGCCGTCCAACTCGTTTCCACCTGGCACATCGACGGTGAGATCTGTTCTATTCACCTCCCAGCCATCACAGATACCAGACCAAAAGTCCCACGCCATCGTTCCGCCACTCCCTTGAGATTTCCTTTTCCTAGCCAGCGCCGTCCCTCTTTCCTGCAGTTCTCCGCGCACCCTTTGATTTCTGCTGCGCCAGTACGGTATTCTCGAGGAACATCCCCCGCGCGGTACTGCACTCCGCGCGCCATTAGGTTTTATTTCCGCAGGTTCCGCTCTGCACCTGGAACCTCCTCCCTCCCAAGGTTCTGTTTTTTCTCTCCTCTCTCCCAAGTCTCTCTAGCTCCATTCCGCACTCAGAAGCTGTTTCCAGCTTCGCTAGACTGGTTCCTTGTCTTGTGAACCTTTTCCCAAGACGCCATGGCTGCCGCTATGTCCTGGAGCACCAAGCTCGCGTGCCCTTCTTTTGAGGGTCTGTCCAGCCGGAGCCTGCCTTCTAGCCGGGTGAACGCTGACTCCAATGTGGAGCTTAAGACTAAGGGCGCGGAGGGTGCCCCCCGCACCACCTGCTCGCTGAAGGCGATGCGCGACCGTATCGAGTCGGTTAAGAACACCCAGAAGATTACCGATGCGATGAAGCTCGTCGCTGCTGCGAAGGTGCGCAGGGCTCAGGAGGCCGTCGTCAACGGCCGTCCCTTCTCGGAAAACCTCGTTAAGGTGCTTTACAACGTTAACGAGCAGCTCCAGAACGAGGACGTTGACATTCCCCTCACCGAGATCCGTCCCGTGAAGAAGGTCGCCATCGTCGTTAACACCGGCGACCGCGGTCTCTGCGGTGGCTTCAACAACTACGTCCTCAAGAAGGCCGAGGCTCGTGTGGCTGAGCTGACGAAGCTGGGTGTGGCTTACACCATCGTGTCCATCGGCAAGAAGGGTAACGCCTTCTTCAAGAGGCGTCCCCAGTACGCCGTCGACAGGTACCTCGAGGTCGGCGCTGCTCCCACCACCAAGGAGGCCCAGGCCATCGCCGACGAGATCTTCTCCCTGTTCGTGTCGGAGGAGGTTGACAAGGTCGAGCTGATCTACACCAAGTTCGTGTCCCTGATCAAGTCCGACCCTGTGGTCCACACTCTCCTGCCTCTCTCCCCCGCCGGCGAGGTCTGCGACATCAACGGCATCTGCGTCGACGCTGCTGAGGACGAGCTGTTCAGGCTGACGACCAAGGAGGGTAAGTTCGCAGTCGAGCGCGAGACTATCAGGACCGAGACTCCCGAGTTCACCGGCGTGCTAGGGTTTGAGCAGGAGCCTGTGCAGATCCTCGACGCTCTGCTCCCGCTTTACCTGAACAGCCAGATTCTCCGTGCTCTGCAAGAGTCCCTTGCCAGCGAGCTCGCTGCTCGTATGAATGCCATGGGTAACGCCAGCGATAACGCCAAGGAGCTGAAGAGGAACCTCAACCTGACTTACAACAGGCGGAGGCAAGCCAAGATTACTGGCGAGCTGATTGAGATTGTTTCCGGTTCCAGCATTTAAGTAAGTTTTGGTTCACGACGTGTATGCTGGGGTAGAGAAGCTGTCATGAAGCGTTTTTATTACTACTTCACCTTGTGATATCAAACCATTTGTCGACAATATCGCCTCAATTGTGTTTAATTGCTATTTAGACTGTTAACGTTCTCCTGCAGACGCGAGACAACGTGTGGATCTGAACTCTGAAATCTCCCTTGGCTACTGCTGGTTAAGAAAACATCGTGCTTGTGCAGTACTAGGAAGGAACACCTGTCGTTATCAAGCAGAGTCTGCCCAGTGTCCTGGTTTCCCTGATCCATCTACCAGTGCTAGTCACAGGTTCATTAATCTTTGTGCATCAGATTCTCCTAGATCTGCTAGTAAAGCACTGCAGGGTTGCCAAAAACTAACCATCAGATTGTGGTTGCAGAGGCGGCTAGGTACCAACTTCATCCTTCTCTTATTTCACCCTCAAGTTTGTAAAGATAACTGTAATCACGGAAATAGCAGCAACATTGTTTCATGCCACGAAATGCTACAGTTGTCCCGCAAGATCCCATGAGTATCGTGAAGTGTGGTTGGGCGTGATTTAATGCGTTTCAGAACGGTTTGGTCAGTTCTACCACGTTCCGATAGGTTTTGGAGCGAATGTGACATTTCCCTCCAATCCCCTTCGACTTCGTTCCTCTCCTCTCTCCATTCAGTACCATACCTCCTCCCCATTTCCCTCTGGAAGGACTCCCACATTACGCCACGTCAATTCACTGGCCCATACGTGGCGCCTTTGCCCGACGGTTGGCTTGGCAAGAAAACCTCCGCGCCGTTCCTGTTCTCTTCCCATTGCCCTGCTTTCGTTTTAGTCACACCCATCATGCTGGTTCACGTGCGCTCTCCCTCGCTAAGACTCGCTACACTCCCCAATGCAGTCGCTTCCCTCCCCGTCTCCGCGTCCCATGCGCCCGCGCGCCTCTCAAATCCCGCCTTTCCCCTTCCGCGCATGACTCCTGCGCAAGCGTTGCGCCCAGGCTCCACGCAGAAGCTGTTTTTCCGCCAAACCCGCGCCTTACCACGCGAAAGCGCAAGCGCGGAGCCACCCAAAGCGCCAGCAGGGGGATCCGCGGAAGGATCAGGCGCAAGCACGGAAGCAAATAAGTTGGCGGGGACTCCGCAGCCGCCCGCGGGGGAAGTGGCATCGGGGGGAGCGGTAGCGGCGGAAGGGGATGAGGGGAAGCTTCTAGGGCAGGCGACGACTGCGGGGATCTTCCTCCTGTGGGCTGGGCTGATCGCGTATGGCGCGTTTTTTGCGCCCCATCAGACGCCAGTACGTGGCAGCTTATCAGTGGCTGGTTCAGCCAGGAGCAGAACGATATAGCAGGTGGATTCTATTCCTCTCCCCCCCATCCCGCTCATCCACCCCATCCCCCCCATCCCGCCCATTCCCCCCGATCCCTTCTGTTCCCCATCCTTCTCCCTTTCTTCTTATCCCCTCCCGCCTCCTCGCTCCCCCATTCCCTTTCTCCCCCATCTCCGCAGTACCGCGATCTATACTTTATGGAAAAGCTGCTCAATCTGAGGGGCGACGATGGGTTCGTGATGAACCAGGTGCTCGTGCTTCGCCTCCTCATTCCCCGTGATCCCCTACTCTTCTACCTCCCCTCTCCTCTCCCATCCTCTCCTTTCCCCGTTTTCCTCCCCCTCTTCTCCACCCCTTCGTCCCACCTGCGGTACCGCGATCAGTACTTTCTTGAGAAGCTTCTGAACCTGAAAGGCGGCGACGGCTTCGTGATGAACCAGGTGCTCGTGTTGCCTCCTCATCTCCCCATCCCCCCCATCCCCCCTGTTACTCACCTTTCTCCGTTTCTGGAGAAGCAGCTCAACCTGAGCGGCGACGATGGGTTCACGATAAACCAAGTTCTCGTGGTGCTCTCCCCATCCGCCACATCCCATCCCCAACCCTCCCCCTCCCCCCGCCCCTCCCGTCCCTTCCCCTTCCATCCACCCCACAGTATCGCGATCGGTACTTTCTGGAGAAGCTGCTCAACCTGAGGAGCGACGATGCCTTCATGATGAACCAACCAGGTGCTCGAGGCGCTCCTCATTCCCCCCGGTTCCCCTACTCTTCCCCCTCCCCTCACCTCCCCTCCCCTCCCCTCCTCTATCCCGTCCACTCCCCGCCCTCCTTTCCTCTTCACCCCCTTCCACCCCACAGTACCGCGATCAGTACTTTCTAGAGAAGCTGCTCAACCTGAAAGGCGACGACGGCTTCGTGATGAACCAACCAGGTTCTTGTGGTCCTCCTTCCCACCCCCCACATCCCATCCCCAACCTTCCCTGCCTTTTCCCCCTCCCATCCCCTCCCCTCCCCCACCATCTCCACAGTATCGCGATCAGTACTTTCTGGAGAAGCTGCTCAACCTGAAAGGCGACGATGGGTTTGTGATGAACCAGGTGCTCGTGGCGCTCTGGAACCTCATGGGCGTCATGCCGGGCATATACGCCGCAACACTCGTCCCTGCATCTCGCACGTGAGTCCACGGTATGGGTGTATGGGTGTATGGGTGTATGGGTGTATGGGTGTGTGCACTAGGTGCTTGCACCTGCAGCCCTCACTGCCAGTCAAGTTCGTGTCGAGCCAGGTGTGTGCTCGCGGCGCTCTGGAACCTCATGGGCGTCATGCCGGGCATATATGCTGCTACGCTCGTGCCTGCCTCTCGCACGTATGTGAATGGGGGTAGGAGGAAGGGGAGGGAAGGTTAGGTACAAGCTGCCATTTGGGTTCGTGATGAGATGAACCAATCAGGTGTGAAATCGTGGCGCTCTGAAACCTCGTGGGCGGCATCATGCCGGGAATTTACGCTGCAACACTCTTGTGCCTGCCTTTCACAGGTAAGTGCATAGGTAAACGTGTGAATGCATGGAGTGTACTCTCACAGTCAGCTTCGTGATGAATGAACCAACCAGGTGTGTGCTCGTGGCGCTCTGGAACCACATAAGCGTCAGGTGTATTTTGAGGCGCCTCAAAATACATAATCGTCATGCCCTGCATATATGCAGCCAAGCTCGTCCCCACTTCTCGCACATGAGGGAATGGGGGCGTTTGTGGGGAAGGGAGGTTAGGGGGGTTAGACAGGCTGCATGCTCGTGACGCTCTGGAACCACATAAGCGTCATGCCAGTCAGGCATTAATCCTGCCTCTGCCACTCTTGTGCGGCATCTCTGTACGTTCAAGATTCCTCATACCACCTCTCTTCCCCCCATTCCCCTTGCAACCCATCCCGCTTCCTCTCCAGCAATAGTACCACCATCCCAGCGTGGCCTTTTCTCCTCGCATCATTCTTCATTCTTCGCAACGGCCTTCCTTCGCCCTGCTGCCCTTATTCGCCCTGCTCCCCTTAGTCGCTCTGCTCACCCCCTCTTTTCGTCCCCTTCTCACCCCCTCTGCCCCTTGCACCCCTCCAGCAATAGTACCACCATCCCAGCGTGGCCCTTCCTCCTCGCCTCATTCTTCGCAGGGGTTTTTTCCCTGCTGCCCTTCCTTGCCCTCTGGACATTCGGGGTTCCTGACACCTGCCTTCCCCGCTTTCCTTCTCCCTTTGCACTCCCCCGTTCCCCTTCCTGTTCCCACAGCAATCGCACCACCATCCCAGCGTGGCCCTTCCTCCTCGCCTCATTCTTCGCAGGCGCGTTCGCCCTGATGCCATTCTTTGCCCTCTGGACGCCCGGAGCAGCAGCAGTACCCACCGAGGAGGAGAGGGGGAAATTTGGGCTGCGAGTTCTCGAGTCCAAGATAACCAGTGCGGTGAGTCTATTTTTAAGTCGACTAAAAAATGTGCTCAGCCCTTCACCCCGTTGCTCTGCTGCCCTCTACTCCCTCTGGACACCCGGAGCAGCAGCAGTACCCACGGAGGAGGAGAGGGGCAAAGTGGGGCTGCGAGTGCTCGAGTCCAAAATTACCAGTGCGGTGAGTCTGTTTCTTAGCCCTTCACCCCTTCGCTCTGCTGCACTTTACTCGCTCTGGACGCCCAGAGCAGCAGCAGTACCGACCGAGGAGGAAGAGGGAAAGTGGGGCTGAGAGTGCTCGAGTCCAAAATCACCTGCGCAGTGAGACTTGTCCCTGGATGCTAGTGAACCAAGGGGTGAAAGCGCTGCTACTGCCTGTTCGCCCTGCCCCCTTCTTCGCCCTGATGCCATTCTTCGCCCTCTGGACGCCCGGAGCAGCAGCAGTACCGACCGAGGAGGAGAGGGGGAAAGTGGGGCTGAGAGTGCTCGAGTCCAAAATCACCTGCGCAGTGAGTCTCCAGTCAGCCCTCTCCTGTTTGCTGAGAGGAAACGGATTCCTTCTTTCAGTTAGCCCTCTCCTGTTTGCCCTTCTTCGCCTCTTCGTTTGACCTGCAGCCCTTATTCGCTCTGTGCCTGCCTCGTGTGGCAGCAGTACTGATAGAAGAGGAGAGGCAGAAAGTGGGGCTGCGTGTCATTAGCAGGCTATGACTTGAGACCCTTCCCCCTCTGTTCCCTGCCCCCACACACACTCGCTCTCCTCTCATAAGCTCCCCCTATTCCCCCCCCCACTTCCAGTTACTGCTGCTGGCAGCATCAGGGTTGGTCATTAGTGCAGCAACAGCACCGTCAACTGACTGGCTTGAATTCTTACAGTATTTTCAGGAGAGCCTCTTGGTAAGTATATTCATGGGTGCAGAGCGGTGCAGTGTGGCAGAGAATGGTGTAGGCTGGTGCTGGGGATTGCAATGCGAGTAATTTTCTTACGAGATAGAATGCTGCTGACTGGCTTGAGCTTGGTTGCTTGCATGTGTGCAGAGTGGTGCAGAGTGGTGCAGGGTGGGGAAGGGGCTGACTTTCCAGGATTCATGTCCTCCTCAACATGTTCCTGCCCTTCAACTCACCCCAATCTTCACACCCAACCTCCCCTATTCTTCCCCTTCCCGTTCCCCCGTCCCACCCCAATCCCCCCTCTCCTTCGCCCTATCAGATCCACCCACATCACCTTCACGGATTTTATCCCTCAACATGTTCCTTCTTCTGTCGCTCATCTCCTCCTTTTGACTTCCTTTCCCTTTTCGTCTCCTTTCCCCCTCCTCCTGCCTGCCACCCATCAGATCCATGTCACGTCAATGGATTTCGTTCTCCTAAACATGTTCCTGCCCTTCTGGCTTTTCAACGACATGGCCTACAGGAACTGGTACGTGTGGTGTGAGCTGATGAGCGCCTACCAGTGCTGTGTGCTTGCTGCTACGATAGCATGCTTGCTGCTGCGATAGCATGCTTGCCTCTCTCAACATGTTCCTGCCCTTCTGGCTCGTCAACGACATGGCCTACAGGAACTGGTGAGTGCTGGCTGGCTGGTATGCGTGCTGTGAGATGGTGCACTTCCTGGCGTGCTTGCCTCAACATGTTCCCGCCCTTCTGGCTTTTCAACGACATGGCCTATAGGAACTGGTACGTGCTTATTGGTGCATGTGATGTGAGATGGTGTGTCGAATGAACTAACGGTGCTGTGTGCTTGCAAAGTCTCGTGCCATGCTCTCCTGAACATGTGCCTCTCCCGCCCTTCTGGCGCGTCAAGTCAACGACATGTAATAAGTCGATTTTTTTGGCGACTCAAAAATTGGCCTCAACATGTTCCTGCCCTTCTGGCTCGTCCAGTCAACGACATGACCCACAGGAACTGGTGAGTGCGATTAGGAACTGGCATGCCCTGCCATACCTGATGCCCTGCCATGCCTGATGCCCTGCCATACCTGATGCCCTGCCATACCTGATGCCCTGCCATGCCTGATGCCCTGCCATACCTGATGCCCTGCCATGCCCTGATCCCCTGCCATGCCATGACTTATGAGACGTCTCAAAGGCACTTTTTTTTGTCACCCAAACCTTCTGTCACTCTCCCAACCCTCCCTTTTGTGTTTCCAGGGCGCCTAGAGACTCATGGGGTGCTGCTCTTCTTTTTCTCCCTGTAATTTGCCTTTTGAGATGTTTGAAAAGCCTTTCTTCATCCCACAACAACCTTCATATTGCCCCAACCCCCTTTTGTGTTTCCAGGGCGCCTAGAGACTCACGGGGTGCTGCTCTCCCCTTCATCCTCATTATAAGACTTTTCAGACATCTCAAATGCTTCCCTTCATCTCACCCTAACCCTCCTTTTGTCTCTCCCCAACACTCTCTTGTGTTTTCAGGGCGCCTAGAGACTCATGGGGTGTTGCCCTCCCCTTCCTCCCCGTTATAGGCCCTGCCCTCTACCTTGTAATGAGGCCAGGGCTCCCCCCGCCACTGCCGCCTGCTGCAGCTAAAATCCAAGTCTGATTGAGAGCCTAGGAGTGTGATTCACCCAGGAGTGTACTGTATATGGCAGCAGATTACAACACTAAGGATCGAAGAAAATGGCACAATAAAGCTAATGGGAAGCACATGTGACAATACAGATTTTCCATGACAGCCTTACCTATAAGCTGCATTAACAAGGTTTTCCACCTCTAGCAGCATATATAACAATCTAGGTCTAGAACCATAGCGAGGATGAGGAGTCATCAAGTGGGGAATGGTTCAAAACAAGGTGCCTTATGGTACCAATCAAGTGGGGAACGCTTAGTTGACATCAGCTGGTGAATGCTTTAGTTGATATCAACTGGGGAATGCTGAAGAAGACATCAACTGGGAAATGCTTTAGTTGACGTCAATGTCAGAGGTCCACTGGTGATCCCCGATTGATCCTAGGGAAGGGTTACAGACTCGTTGTTCTGGGGGGTTATGGGCGCACTGACCCGCTACTTAACAAGTGTCAAACATATGTATATCTATGTTATAGTTTGGGTAGGCTTAGTGGGGTACACACTGTGGGGTACAACCCCTTAGGTTCATTTTCTTTGTACCAACCCTCTCGACAGTCGACATCACTTTTTGCCTCCTATTCTAACATGGTATAGAGCATAGGTCCTTAGGACCTAGGATTAGGGCCCACCACGCTTGCCTGCCTAGTCTAGTGCCTACGCGCGCCTCGGCTGCCCGCGTGCGCCTCGGGCGGTCCTTTTTTTTTTCCCACGTGCGCAGCTTCAGCAGCCCGCGTAGCCCGTTTCGGCCCCGCCTGTGCGCTCCTTAGGCCGCCCGCGCGCAACCTAGTTAGGCCACGCCAGCACGGCCCGTCGCCCAGCGTAGCCCGCAACTTAGCGACCAGCCCGCAGCCGCGCACGTGCGGCCCGTCGCCCAGCGCAGCCCGCAGCCTCACGCAAATTGCAGCCGCGCACGCTGCCTGTCGCCACGCACAGCCCGCAGCTGCAAGCAGCCCGCAGCCCGCGCAGCTCGTCGCCGCACGCAGCCTGCGGCCGCTCGCGCTGCCCGTAGCCACGCGCAGCCTGCAGCCTCGTGCAGCAAGCCGCCACACGCAGCCAGCAGCCTCACGCAACCCTCAGGCCGCTCCTGCCTGCTGCCTGCTGCCGCCTGCCTTCAGCCTGCCTACTGCCTGCCTACTGCCTGCCTGCTGCCTACCTGCTGCTTGCTGCCTGCTGCCGCCTGCCTGCTTGCTGCCTGCTGCCGCCTGCCTGCAGCCTGCCTGCTGCTTGCCTGCTGCCTGCCTGCTACTTGCTGCCTGCTGCCGCCTGCCTGCTTGCTGCCTGCTGCCGCCTGCCTGCCGCCTGCCTGCTTGCTGCCTGCTGCCGCCTGCCTGCAGCCTGCCTGCTGCCTGCCTGCTACCTGCCTGCTGCTTGCTGCCTGCTGCCGCCTGCCTGCTTACTGCCTGCTGCCGCCTGCCTGCCGCCTGCCTGCTGCCTGCTGCCGCCTGCCTGCTGCTTGCTGCCCCTGCCTCCTGCCTCTGCCTCCTGCCTCTGCCTCCTGCCTCCTACCTGGTGCCTGCTGCCTCTGCCTGCTGCCTGCTGCCTGCTGCCTCCTGCCTTAAGCCAATATGGCGACGCCTAACGTTCTAGCGTTCGAGCCTGACGGTCGTCCCATCGAGTTCACTGTGTGGTTAGACGATCTCCAGCTGTTCCTTCTGACTGATGCCAAAGAGGGCGTTTCCCTGTTTGATTACGTCTCTGGCACTGCCGTTACTCCTGCTGCTGATGCTCCTGCTCTAGAACGCTCCCAGTGGCAGACTCGTGATGCTGCTGCACGCCTAGCTATTAGGAACCACCCGCCGATTACTGAGCGAGCGCATTTCAGCCAGCACAGAACTGCCAAGACACTGTACGACGATGTAGTTGCGCGCTACTCCTCCCCGGCCACCGCAGCCATAGGTCGACTCATGCTACCGTACCTGTTCCCCGATCTTTCCTCATTCACCACCGCTGAGGACCTAGTTTCTCACCTGCGCGCTACTGACTCTCGCTTTCGTGCCGCCCTTTCAGCCGAGTTCTGCGCCGCAAACCCCCCCCCCCCCCGATGTACTTCACTCTCTATTTCCTCGTCACCCGCCTCCCTGACACTCTTAGCTCTGTCAGGGACCACTTCCTAGCGCTAGACCCCACCACTCTCACTGTCGACGACTTCGAGAAGCACCTCCTCGCAGCAGAGAAGAACATCCTCGCTGTAGGTGCTGCTCGTGGCACTCCTCGCTCTCCCCTCTTTGAGGGGTGCTCCCCCTCCCCTCTCACCCCCTCCTATGCCTCCGCAGCTGCTGCTCACGACTACCTTGGTGCTGAGGGGGTCGGAGCTGCTTCCGCTCCTAGTGGGAAGCGTCGCAGCGGCAGGGGCGGCAAGGGTGGCAGAGGCGGTGGGGGTGGCGGTGGAGGTGGCGGTGGTGCAGGCGGCGGGGGAGGTGGAGGTGGTGGGGGTGGTCGTGGGGGTGGAGGCGGTGGAGGTGGTGGTGGGGGCGGTGGAGGCACTGGGAGCGGTGGAGGGGGCAGCAGCAGCGGTGGGGGAGGAGGGAGCGGTAGTGGCTTTGGTGGTCAGGGCCAGCAGCAGCCGCAACAGCAGCAGCAGCAGCAACAGCACCAGCAGAAGCATCAGCGTCAGCGCCAGACCCCCACTTCCCAGCAGCTTCTTGACTGGTATGCCGGGCGTGGGGCTTCTGGGGGTCCTGGTCGCTGCCCCTATATCATCCGCACAGGTCCCCGCGCTGGTCGCCAGTGCACAGGTTTTCACACTGAGCAGCGCTGCTTCGCTCGGCTTAGCGACGCCTGGCGCGCCAAGTTTCCTGATGCTACTGAGTTCCCTAACTGGGCAGACTTGCTTAGGCGTGATGTACCTATCTTTGATCTTGACTATGAGGCAATTCTTGCTGCTATGTATGCCTTGTCTGTTAGTGCTGAGGGTGATTGCTACTTGTGTGTGCCACCGGATCCTGGTATAACCCCTGGTATAGCCCCTTCAGCACTAGGTGCTTGTGAGTCTGCTCCCCTTGGTACTGCGCCTGCACAGGCTTTGCACACATTTACACTTGACTCTGGTGCTTCCCGCTGTTTCTTTCGCGACAGTACCACAGTCACTCCCCTCCCTGCACCTGTTCCTGTCTCACTGGCTGACCCCTATGGGGGCCCAGTGCTTGCACGGTTTTCCACTGTGCTTCCGTGTCCGGCGGTCCCGTCTGGTGAGCTGTCTGGTCTCCACCTCCCCTCGTTCTCTACGAACTTGGTGAGTAACGCTGTCCTCCAGGATGCGGGGGTTGACACCTTCACCCCTGGCCGGCAGCGTGTGGCGATTTGCACGTGCTCCCAGACTGGTCGCCACCTGGCCACGTTCGCTCGTGCGCCAGGGTCCAGTCTCTACACCCTCACCACTGCGTCACGCTCCACCCCTTTGTCTCCCCAGTTGCACGCGTCTGCTCAGGTAGCTACACAGTGTGAGTGTCACCGGCTGTCGCACGACACTCTCCTGTGGCACCACCGCCTTGGTCACCCCTCCCTGCCTCGCCTACGCAGCATGCACTCCCGCTTCCTGGTTTCTGGTCTTCCCAGGTCTCTGCCTCCCCTCCCTCCCTCGCCTGCGCCGCCCTGCATTCCCTGCGTCGAGGGGCGGCAGCGCGCCGCTCCTCACTCCTCCTCGTTCCCTCCCACAGAGGCTCCACTGCAGACTCTCCACCTGGACGTGTGGGGCCCAGCCCGCGTCCGTGGACAGGGCCACGAGCGGTACTTCCTGCTGGTTGTCGACGACTACACGCGCTACACCACGGTCTTCCCCTTGCAGCGCAAGGGGGATGTCCCTGATGTTTTGATCCCCTGGATCCGCGCTACTCGTCTCCAGCTCCGCGAGCGGTTCCAGTCGGACTTTCCTGTCCTGCGTCTGCACTCTGACAGAGGTGGTGAGTTCTCAGACCTCTTGGCAGCCTTCTGTGCGGAGCACGGCATCCGCCAGACTTTCACGCTTCCGGCCTCTCCGCAGCAGAATGGGGTTGCTGAGCGCCGCATTGGCTTAGTCATGGAGGTCGCTCGTACCTCCATGATCCATGCGGCTGCCCCCCATTTTCTGTGGCCGTTTGCGGTCCGGTACGCCGCGCATCAGCTCAACCTTTGGCCCCGTGTCTCCTTGCCGGAGACCTCGCCCACACTGTTGTGGACGGGGAAGGTTGGCGACGCATCGCGTTTCCGGGTCTGGGGTGCTCGTGCCTTTGTCCGCGATACCACCGCGGACAAGCTCTCCCCTCGCGCCATTCCTTGCGTCTTTCTTGGCTTTGTCCCTGACGCGCCTGGCTGGCAGTTTTACGACCCCGCCTCGCGCCGTGTCTTTGCGTCTCAGGACGTCACCTTTGACGAGTCCGTCCCCTTTTACCGCCTCTTCCCCTACCGCACTGCTCCTCGCCCCCCCCCGCCGCTCTTTCTCGCCCTAGGTCCTCCCCAGGTAGACCCCCTCCCCGCGCCAGGTCCTGCTCCTTCAGGTGTCTCTCAGGTAGACCCCCCTGCGCCTGCGCCTGTTGAGGTCACTGGTGACTCCGGTCCTGCTGCGAGTGGTGCTGTCCTGGGGGGTGCGGAGCTTGGGGGTGCTGATTCTGGGGGCGCTGAGCGTGTGGATCCTAGAGGTGCTGCGTCTCGGGGTACTGCGTCTGGAGGTGCTGCGTCTGGGGGTGCTGAGCCTGTGTGTGCGGAGCCTGGGAGTGCTGAGTCTTGGGGTGAGTTGCCTGAGGGTTCTGAGACTGCTGTTACACGGTCTCCTTGGAGTAGCCGCCTTTGTCCGCGTGTGCCCCTCACCTCCCAGCAGCTGCACGACTGGTACGGTCGCCGTCGGCGTCCCACTTCTGCACCTCAGGGCTCTCCTGCTGGAGGTTCTTCTGCTGGTGTCGCTGGTCCCGGAGGTGCTCGTACTAGGAATACTGGCGCTGCTGGGGCTGGTGGTGGTGCTGCTGGAGGTACTGGAGGTGCTGGAGCTGCTGGAGGTGCTGG